GCAGTATTGGTACAAAGGATCCAGGGCTAGCATTATTACATACGCCATCGCACAGTCGGGAGCAGTTCGTATCGACCAGCTGAGAGGCGGCACAAAAACCACCGGCCAGTCGACAACATCCGAGCACGAAACGCCACTATCGCTTATCGGAAAATAGGCCAGCGCCGCGTCACGCGTACAGCGGCCACCGCGAAACGGGCTGCAGTCAACTCGGCGACTGCCATTCCTGTGTGCAGGATGGTGATAGGTGATGGTCACAACACGTAAAAATAGGCAATGTGATCCTTTTTCAAAGATGGCTTTCTAGCTTATTATATTACCTAGAGAGTGGCGTGCGTATGTACTTTCCGAGAACCGTAAAAAGTTATTGCTTTATCGGCGGGGATAAATTACTTTCCACGACCCATCAACAATGGCCAGCGAAACTTCGAAATGCGTCACTCTTGTTATCCAGTTTTTGTTTTCTGTGCTGACATTTAGAAATTCGCTTATTATTTTATTATGAAGAAAATCATCTTTCACCCATGCAAATATGCTGGAAAAAAATAATGATGGACCGTCGTACCGAAGAGCGGTATGGTTAGTTGTCGTGAAAATATGCATAACTGTCATCATCTTGATATCAGCCGTCAGAGGCTTTCTAATATTGTTTTATGCAAAGGTAAAGAATAATAGGGTTTAATAGCAAGTAACGGAATTATTCCGTTCTTTTATTGCAGACTGTTGATATCGACAAATTGCGTTGTCTGTGACGCCCTGGCTTCAGTTTGACGTGGACTATCATCCTGTTAGTATCGGCCCATACGAGGCTGAATCCCTTGTGGGCAGAGTTACGCCCGACGGCTCTGTTGTCGTTTCGAGAAGCCTTGCAGACCGTCAACCAGCTACGTGTCGGCAAATCCTGCCAATGTGCGGGGCTTCCAAACTGCGTCGGACTCGGAAGCCCGACTCGTCCAGTGGCCGAGTCCTGCTTGAGAGGTCCCCATACGCAGTGGGGGTTTTACCCATTACAACTATTTCCTCAGGAGATATTGTGGCCCGAATAATACGCTGAGTGACGCGCGATGCAAACCTAATTGGGTGTTGCCACAATGGCACATTACCAAAGCTTCTAGCATGACCATTGGCATAGACTTCTCTATTCTTGTGATACGGTAGTCTGCCATTCATTATATTAACTAAATAACACGTAATTAGCTTCCAAGAGTTGGCTATTCCAAAGCTATATCTTAACTATATTTTCTTATGGTGAAAAAGGTTACACGGAATGATCTATATATTCTTGAACTTGCGCAATGCTTTCAGGGGTTCAGAACTAAATCATTTTATAAGAAGAATAATTAATAGTAGTATAATAACCCCTCCGTCCCTTCCTTTCTAAAAAAAAATATCTCTAAAATGCATTGACAACCAACAGTCAGTGGGTGTCCACTTCTAGTCGTCGCTAACCTGCCTTTTCCGTTTCAGGACAGTGACGGTGAAAAGCTATCTGGATGTCCGTAGGTCGGATCGACCACACCTCTCCGCTCTCAATCACAACTCTCAGCGACTCTCACCGGGGTTCCCAGTCGGTCAGTCACAACTTCATGCTATCACGCGTCGTGGCAGCCATCCGACCTGCCTCACACGCAGCAGTCATCACTTCACCGCTCCACAGGTAGAACTCATCGTACGGGCAGGTCGAAATACTCAGCTTCACTGGGACTCGATCCCGGGCTAGACGAAGGACGAAAGATCAATGATCACTTCGAATGTGATACCCAGGTGACTAACTCAGAGTTTATTAGACTCTTGTTGACCAAGTAGCCGTGCAAAGTGATGGATCAATCGTGAATGATGACGTCACAATGGATGACGTCATGATCATCTGAGCGAAGAGGTATACCACAGAGTTCATTCTGCTACTTCTGTTCTTCAGCAGTATGTGAGGAACTACCAACTTATTTTTTACGTTTATGATTTATCATTTAGTTGTGACCAATCTTGTACATACTGCTGCACAGAAAAGGCTCCTTATCATTCCCATTTCATCAGAATGCACGCTAGTGTTGCATTGCTTTTGCTTACAAGTATAATCGTCATCCATTGTGATGAGGTTTGTTCCAAAAGCAAGATCTCGCTCTACAATGAATAAGCAGATTTTGCTTATAGCATTCACTCAAGAACCTGCATGAAATTAGTACATAAGACCATCTAAATTATAGACCTATAAGACGTCTCTACAAAAACTTGTTTTAGTCGCTGAACGATGTAATCTTGACTTTCTTGATTACCTCAGCGAACTCAGACGTTGCAATCTTCTTTCTCATCCCTGATTACTCCGAAGTATAGGTGATTTTATGAGTTAATATTCCAAGGCATATGTATTTCACTCTCAAGTGTACCGAGTCTGATAGGCGCCGGGTGACAGTCCTACCCAACAATGGGCAGCGAGAAATAGGCACACTGTGAGAAAACATTCCATGGATGCCAGCTAGCATCCTAGGACCAATGCAGTCCTCCCTGTAAGATTTGTGAGCAATTGTGCGGGAGACTGCTTGTGGAGCATTTAGAAATGAGAATCTCATCTGCACTGGCGGATCCAAAACGGTAGCTCCTGCAGGGGGAGGGGGCAAACTTCCCGAAAAGTGTCTCCAATTTCCAAAAACTCCTCGGATTTTGGTTGTTGATGCGTTGTTTTTGCTTTCTAAAGACAAACTTACCGAATAGCGAATAGAAGGTGCTAGCTTTTCTTATTATGCATTAGAAAAACAACAAAATTTATGTCTTATGCCTCAAGGCCCCCACCAAGGATCTCATCTTCAGCGCTTATATTGTAATTGAATATACGTCGGCCAGATTTGTGGAGATATTATCGATGCTGATATTATTGTTGTTATATCGTTATAAAATACAGAATTTGCGCCATTACTACGGTTGAGCAGTACACTGAAGTATACATATGTTGTGATGAAGCGTATGTGTCACACACAATATTGATTATATGACGTGTTCATGATAAGCAATGCAGATAACTATTTTTGCCCGTCTGCTTCAACAGAGAATAAAGCATAAGGCGGTGTTGTCCAATTAAATCCGTCGCCTATAAAGTAAATGTCGAAGCATCCAATAGCGAGATGTTAAGTTCACTTACCCTTTACAAATTAATGCCAAGGGACGCATTAATGTTTGTTTGATTGAATAATAGCTTTATGTGGGCAAGTAGGTATCTGTGTGCTTTGGTTCACGCATGACTAGATATGATCAAGTGAGGTGTAGTGCCGTGCAGTCTTTACCCGTCTCCTGACTGCATTTGAACACATGAATTGGGACACAAGTTAGTTAAATTGAAGTCATTTCAAGCTCAAAGATAAAATACCAGGACAAAATGTTTTGTTGCGCTACAGGAACTTTGTGTCTGAGCTACAGAATCGAATCGGAGGTCTTTGAATACCGAGGTCTATACTTCATCACATGCACCGTAAAATGCTTTAATATTTATCCGTGTTCATGAAAGAACACAGTGTCTGATCACCTGTAAGTATTTCATGTTAAATAATTGGTATCGGTACACTGTGCGTTCAAATGTTAACCCTCGCCCATGTAGGGGGGGGGTTGGTGCAACCCCCCCCCCTGAGGTTTTTCGGAAATAGTGCAAAAACGGCGGCGCGCAGCGCCGCCAAATTTTGGGTACCTTATGGGGCAAACCTTGCGCATCTTTTGATAAAAAAAATTTGACCGGGTCATGTCAGGTCACGGAGTTATGACGTCACAAAGGGAACAGCCTCCGGCCGGATTTTCACAAACTGAGTGCCAACGCCCGAGGTTTCCTGCCGGTGGTACGGTCATCGGTTGATGGATCGTGATGAAACTTCCCATGCATGTTGGGGCAAGTATTGGCTATCATATGGTATAAGAAACTTGACCGGGTCAGGTCAGGTCACGGAGCTATGACGTCACAAGAGGAACAGCGTCCGGTACTATTTTTGAAAAGCGCCCGAACCACTATTTTGCTAATTCTTGTCACCTCAATGGGAATATGCAGCAATATTAGCTTCTATAGGGAGCAAATGGACCTCCGAAATCCAAAAATACAATCAGATTTGAAAAATTTAAATTTTGATTTTTCGAATTTCTGCCGCCGACTGTGACCTTGCCGACTTCCGGCGCTCCCAACGCGCCATTTTTAGAGCTAGGGAAACGAAATACATACCAAACGATAGAGAATTAATCAAGGAACACGATAGTGAAGGTTTAAAGTCGATATCTCCCACCGTTTTGCCGCAATCGCCGCGGAAAGTTGAAAAAAGTCTATTTTTCCGAAAATTTGACCTTTGACCGGTCAAAAGTAGGTCAAATGTTGACCTAGGACCAAAAAATATACCACCAATCGCGAGATCTCGGCGAGAGCAATCCGTTGGTCTTTTCCGCTAAGCTCTACGACGCTCCGTTTTCAAACGCCAAGGGGGGGTCGCACCAACCCCCCCCCCCTGCATGGGCGAAGGTGGCAGATCGCCGTTTACGGGCGAGGGTTAACTGTACAAAATGGTAATGTTCACGGAGAGGTGTTGTTGTCTGCGCGTGTGTCAGTGTCGGCGCTCGCTCGTCACGGACACGGTGTGTAAGTCACGGTTCGTGACATTTCGTGATGTAAGCTGAGCGGCATGTCCGTGAGCCATATCTTTCCTGTTCTGAAGTCACTCGACACATATTAACTGTTCCGAAACACCCAGCGACTTCTGACGCTCCAGAGTCGAGCTGCGTTGTATGTACATATATATCACATGCGTACCATATACCGTGCTCGTGCGTGTTTGAAATGTTGTGATGATGTTGGTTCAGTGATCGGATTATTTCTAATGAATGTGTAAAACGTAATAAAACCACACTCCAGCCGTCAACAGTGTAAGCGTTTGAAAATAAATCCTTACGAAACGGATACAGTCGAAGGCGAGGCAACCGAATTAACCTCTAACGCCATTGTTTGGTGTCCTGCGCTGAAGAATTTCATTTAAAAGAGATAAAACATTTCATTTATTTCAGCCTAACGCATATGTACAAAGTGCTTAGTGTCAAACAATATCCCTTTCAATACGCAAAGCATCAAGAATTTCAGTGGATGCGTAACTTCTTACAAAAATATCAAACTGTAGTGACTAATTTTTCTATCTGCAAACAGTACGCAAACAGCCAAGAGCCCGTACAAAGAGATAACCGAATAAAACGAACACGACCCATACATTTGTACCGGCATAGGACTCGATATACCCTGCTTTTCTACACGCTCTCACAGTTTCGCGCACATCATTGCGCGGCAACGGCCCCAGCGGGATGCTCTTGCGTGGCAAGTGTCATTGTTGTCACTGACATCCCTCACTGACACACCGCGAACACTGACACATGGGGCAGCCCACCGATGCGTACCCGCGACCAAAACCCTGTATTGGTACTGCACCATTCCACGGAGGGCTCACACAGCTGTCACTGCCTATACGAGGCTGTCCGAAATCCGAATCGCTAGCATCACACTCAAATCCAAACCGGGAAGCTGGCATTCCATATGATGACAGGATTTGTGCGTTTCCTGCCTCCACCACAGCGCAACTTGGCACCAATCGCAACCGCTCCAGCGTCGCTAACGCATTTATAAACGTTGGTTGCTGCAATATTAACATTACTGTTGAATTTTTCATTCAGTAGACAAAGAAAGACGTTGGTGTAGGTAACCATTTGCGTTCAAGTAGATCAGCGATTTTACAACTCTTTTTTCACACCTGTCCCACAATGTTTTTTTTCTGGAGCACGAAAAACAATTCACAAAGTCAAACCATGCTCATTCCTCTACTGGCCTGGGAAAACAACAAACATGTCAAGTTTCAACACACGGGTTGTGCACTAAGGTACGCTGGCATGTCACCTGATGACGCCAAACATGACGTCACACCTCGTACACGTATCCACACTCGTTCACATGTCCATAGATTCTAGTCTCGAGATGCGCAGAGCACATGCGCTGCATGGTCAGACCATTGTATGCTTTCCGTAATGGACTCTCTGAGACAGCAACCAGCGCTGGTATTTTGTCGATGTCATCACGAAACACGACTCAACCACCACAACTTGATGACAGACTGCTATTCCCACAAGCTACGTCCTGAGTTAACTCGGCTAGTCTCTGAGCCTGCAGCATACCGAGGCTCCACGCCGGTCGTTTATCCGAGGTCACTGCGGAGTCACTTGGGCTAGTCTGTGAAACCTCAAAGCACGCCAACAGGCCACCCAGTGTCGCCACAGTACGTTCACTGTCCGTTGTCGGCTAGTGAGTGGTCGTCCAATGGTGGCAATCCATCGCACTTTTTCAGTTAACAAAAATATACCCGAAAAGCTTACACCGGCAAGATCATGGCCATGGACGACTGATTGATGAGAAGTCAGCAGTCAATGTTTGAAATTGTATCGCCCCGGCACCATCTTGGATGTCATGTAAGAGACAGTCGGCCTCTGTCTCCTCACATGTTTCACTCTGTTTCTCGGCAGATAGTCAAACGCAGGGATCACTTCATCACAGTGGTAACCAGATGGGGCTGCATTGGTGTTCGGGTCTCATTTGGGACCCGACAGGACACCCGAAGGCAGCGGCGAACCCGGGGAAGTGACGCATCATGGCGTTTATCCTGTCAGAGAAGGAATTGTCAAATAACATCGTTATTGAATTGAATTGTTATTGTCAAATTATCATCCGAGTTGAGATAAAACCGGACTGAGATGATTACTAAAGAGATATCGAAAAAGTCTGCAATAACCCTCGCCCGTATTGGTGTTTTTCCAGCCGCGAACGTATAAGGGGGGGGGTCCGTTGGACCCCCCCCCCCCTTGCCGTTTCGCCCCTGATCGAGCTAGAGCTTCGCGGAAAAAAACGAGCGTGTTGCCCGTGACGAGAGGAAGCCGATGATACCCAATTTTAAGGTCCTAGGTCATTGGTTGACCTTGCAGGTCAGGTCAATGACCCCAAAGGCGGGAAAATCGGGACCTGTTAGAACGTCGTAAAGTGTGGCTGCTATGGGGTTTTTCGGGGTGCTGATCACGAATATCATGTTAGTTTTGATTACAGATGATGTCTTCATGTATTTATGCCAGGTCGGGTCAGGTCAGGTCAGGTCAACCAGTAAGGGTATTCGTAGTAGGTGGCAACCGCCTCTGACAGCTTCGTAACATGTTACGAAGGTGCCAAAACTACTTCGTAAATGTTCATATGGTTGCTAAATTCGAATTCAGCTCCAAAAACTGGCCTAGAAACATGTAAAACTCGAAAAAGTGAACCGAGGTCATCAAAGGTCAATGACCTGACCTGACCTTCAGGTGACCTTGACACCCACCCTAATGCATGGGGGCAACATGATATCACATGTTTGAACGCTTGAAACCACGAAAAGACTGCAAACGCGCGGCTAATGCGAGCCGACATACGCCGAATCGCGATTCCAGCCAAACATGGTCTCGAAAAGTAAGTCACAGGTCAAAGGTCATTTGGGTCAGGGTCATTAAATTTTCAGGGTAGGTGTGAAATTGATGAACGCGAGGGTACTGAAAGTTTCGTCGCGATCGGCCGCTTTTTACGCGAGTTATTCGCGAAAAACCATGGGGGGGGGTCCGTTCGACCCCCCCCCCCCTATACGGGCGAGAGATAAAATATTCGCAATTACAAATGACAAGATATACAAATACAGCCAACAAAGCAAGTTCAGAGAACGATTTTTTGGCTCCAAGTTATCCATGAAAGTGTCCAAACTTATTCAAGTAAATTTCAGTCACTTCGGACTTCTTAAAAGTTGCTAGCTTATCAATTGTGATTTTACTAGCACTATTTTGCTCACCTTTCAGGATTGGGCAGGTGGGTGTCCACCTCTGCAGACGTAATGTAGCTCACCGGCGCTACCTTCGCACAGTACGTCTGCCGAATGAGAAATGGTGGGTGTCGTGAAGATATAATCCAACGCAGAGATGACAACACAGAGGGCACAGAGATGACACAACAGTGTTCACTGTTGACATATGCAATGATTTAACAATAAGTTGTCATCATGATGCCAACTGTCGCTGTTTTTTGGTATGGTATGGTATGTCTTGCACGATAGCTGTTTAAATAATAGGTACTGAGCTGAACATGAGACCACTCAGTTCAGGGACAACGCAAAAACGGGGTTTAGACGTTTTATAGTCATCCTACCTGCGCTAATGCTAAGAGGAAGGTTTGTCGAACGCTGCCCTGAACTCCGGGCAGTCGGGGCTCTGGCGAGTGGCGGTGACGGTGCTGCCATCTGTGATAGGTCCGCCAAGCTAGCGCCAGACCGTCATGGTCCGAAAGGTTTTCGTCCAGCGTTAGCTCGCCGTTCGGCTGTAAACCATTGGATCGATCAGTGAGGTTTCGGAAAGACTTTTTATCTTCTTTTCTTCTTCCTTTTTTAACTGGCGAGGTCTGCCTAGCGATTGATCATCACAATGTCCTTTTATTTGTAGCAGTTCCATAGGTAGGTATTCGATAAACCAAAAGCTGCGACTATTTCGAAACCTGCACTAAAAGGCCTGCGAACCTGCAAAGGAAGTGATCCCTAAAATTCATTAAGTTTGATCAGTATGCATGGAAAACACAACTAAAAATAACCCTGCATTTTTCGGTAGAAACATAAATGAAGATAATAGGACCTATATAGTTTCTAATAGACAGATAAAAGCAAGCACCATAGACCTCTGTACACCTGGTGTACAGAGGTCTATGCAAGCACACAAACAAAAGCCAAATAAAACATAGTGATTCCTTACGTGAGAAAAGCACGTTGACATACCTGTGCGCTGAACAAGAGCCCGCTGATCTCCACTTCCCGGCTGAGATTCCGCGTGAACTGATGTCGGACACAATGTCGGAGATCCGACAGCTGGTGTTCTGTGTCCTCTGACAGCGAGTGGAGCTCCCCGGCACTGTTGAAATAAAACCCTGGAAACGTAACAGATCCGTCAACTGAGCATGTACGCCTACAATTGACAGACAATGTGTCGTTTCAGCCATTCAGCGCGTATTCGCCGCTCCCATGCACTGCGGAACAGCCTACCTTCAGGCGCACACTACCAGCGCCATCTATTGGGAATTACGCAACTTCACCAGGTCGCGTGGCGATGGACTCTTCGTCGCTCTTTTGTGCGGGTTCGTGAAGTGGAGGCTTGGGGAAATGCATTTCAAAGCATGATGAGGAAAGGTCCGACTTATCGCTAGCTTTCCACAGCCACTTTTTCCTCGTGCATAGAAAAGGCAAGTGGATAGCAACTCAAAATGCTGGTTTCTTTTGGTCTGCTTTTGACAAGTTTTACAATGCATAATTTGTGATATCATACGACATTTTAAAGGAAAATTATGTCCTGAATCTAATCTATACTCAACACCTGACTGATAAAATATTGGCGTTTAGCTGGCGTTTTACGTCTAGTTATTACTTATTTCATCCCAAACAATTCGACCAATTACCGCAATATTCCCCCATCTCATTTGACTAACCTGTAACACCAACACTGTGCAGCAGTTCGTGAGCGATCGTGGTACCGAGCGCCGCCATCGTAATGTACCGCGGTACATCGTCAAACAGGTACGGCTCAGACAGGAACGCCAGCGGTATCACTGCGGTACAAGAGGGGCAGCAGAGCTGGTGACCTGTATAGTGGCACGTAGCGACCTATGATTATGCAGCATGAAACACACACATGTACCAGAACCCATAAAACCCGCATTTTGTAAGTATTATGGACAAAGACACCGTCCAGGCTGGACGGTGATCCAGCAGTGTTGGTGAACACATTGTTATTAAATTGAATTGCAGCCATCCTGTAATTGTGGAGAACAGCGCTTCAGGCACAATTACCACAATAAACTGAGGGTGAAATTAAATTAATGTACACATTGTTGTCAGTGGTCCTCCTTCAAGAACTAACCGCTCAATGCCCTCACGGCCACTCATGACGGCATCATTGTGTGTAAATGAATCGATAGCATCTCGTTGCTGGACATGAATGAGTGAGCCTCACTGGACGGATGATAGCTACTTACCCACTGCGTTACGGTCCGTTAGGTAGTAGGCGTTTGGCGAGTAGGGCTGAACGACGTAACTCCAACTGAAATGAATCAGATCAAACTTCAGGAAAAACAGTTGGTGAGGTGGGAATAAATGAGCTTTGTTCTCAACGGTGACGCAATTCCTTACAGTTAAAAGGTCAGGCATCTAGACGTAATAACAAAGCTTTAACTATTCCTCCTTACCTATATATCGGCCCAATATCTCGGAAGGGTGACAGGAATTAGGGGAAGACATTGGTCTGGGCGGGCACCTTGGTAACCCGTCGGGGCTGAGACCGTCTCGATGGACAAGCCACCCAGCCCCCGCAACGATTTACCTCTCTGCACATGAGCCTGCTACTCACGTCGAATAAAGGTGACCATTCAGCCCGGAGCGGGGACTTGAGATGGTGAGCCTGGATTAGAAGGATTGGTGTGTCCTGAGAGTAGGTTAGGGACCGGAGAACACGGGTCAAGTGCACTCACATGGTGTCTTCAGCCTGAAAGTCTGATGCCAGGTACTGGTCGGAGAAGGTGTCACCGATCGACGTCAGCGTCTTCATTAATCGCAGCAGACGATGGTGACTGGGCTCCTGAGGGACATCACAAAAAAAGGTCAGTCAGCGGAAAGTTAACAAGCACCAAGCAGGCATTGAAACAACTGAGCACTGCATTAGATCAATACTTCTGTGGATTTTGCCCAGGAGATGCCGCGCAGAGCGCCCCTGTTTTAGGAGGTCTAACCTCAAGTTGTAATGTCACCCGCTAGGTGGCACGTGCACAGTCGCACTAGGAACTCGCCTGCATATGCAGCCGGTGTCCTAGGCTGGCAGAGTGACTGTTGATAAAGTGGTCATCCCAAAAGCTGTCTGAGGCAGCGATGAAGCTGCGGAGTCGCCGTAGTTTCTCCAGTGCAGTCTGGTAGATAGGCGACGGTGTCTGGATGTTACGCTTTTCTATCCCTCGAATGAGCTCGTCTCTGATTTCCGAGACCAGAGCCGATACCTGAAGAAAGGTACGGAGGAATCCATGCGTCAGGGAATAAAAAACGCTTTAGGCCTGGTTGTAATTAGCACTAGCATATGATGGACATTTCATTCATTGCGGAAGTAATCAACAATCAACGTATGATTGGTGTTAAACCATCACCAAGAAATTAAAGTAATCTGCGTCATGTACATTTTATATTCTCTGAGCACATTATCCCCGCATAAAACACACATTTGAAAAATGCATTCCTCGCGCCGAACTCGTGGAATTTTCTAATGATCCCTCAATTTCACGACATTACTCGTGTCGTGGAATTTCCCAACGATCTCTCAATTTCACGACATTACCCCCCTCGAGTGTGCGGCGCGCAACACCTAGTTACAGGCCCCTATCTAACAGATCATAGGTAGACATGAATGCTCATTACACATGGATACACAATCTTGTTCGACATGGGCATACACAGGTTATATGACACGTTCACATCCTACAGCTTAAAGTCGAACACTGGCTTTGTAAATTTTACGTGCGTACGGTGCAGCCTTCCAGTTGTTCCATCCATATATTCAACGTGACGACGTCCAACCATCCCCACTACAGTGTGTGTGCGCGACCACGGATGCTCCATCTTAAGAGCAACCCCAGCCTGGTGCTTGAAGTTACGCACACGTATGCGATCCCCGGCCTTATACAGCAAGTCTTTTGCTTGATTACGACGATCATATGCGGCTTTGTCAGCTGCGGCGGAAATACGCCGCTGCTCCTGAGCCTGCCGCAGATCTTGGGATAGCGTGCGCAGCTTTTGATGGACAAAGTTATCCGAATACATAGGGACGGATTCATCCACCAGCCGAGATAGCGGAGCGGTAGGATGGCGCCAAAAGTACAGAAAATATGGCGAGTACCCCGTTGTCCTAGACACTTCGTTGTTCAGAGAGAATACGATCCCCGGCAAATGCACTTCCCAGTCTACGCCATGACTGACAGAGCGCGTAGTCGCCGTTTCATATCGAGATGCTTCCTTTCAATCTTTCCAATCGCCTCATGGTGATATCCTACTCCTGATACGTGTTTCACACCAAAGTACCGACAGAGCTCAGATATTTTTGAGCTTTTAAGGTTTTTACCCGCGTCAGTTTCCAATCTCCCTGGAGGACCAAACACAAGGAAATGACTTTGGAGAGCGTTTGCAATGTGATCGGCTGAGCCTGACTGAAGTGGATAAAACGATAAGTACCCGGTGAATTTATCAACGCAAGTAAGGACGAGAGAAACGCCTGTCGTCCTGCTTTTGGGCATGTGTACGATATCCACGACCATCGCTTCGTTGGGAAGATAAGCTTCCTGCGGTATCAACGGCGGTGGCTGCGCACCCTTAGTGTCTTTGCGCTCGCTGCAGCGTTTGCAGCTCCTGACGTAAGCGCGACAATCGTCTTTTAATGCAGCGTACCAGGCATGTCGTGAAACTTTCTCAAACAGCTTGTCTACGCCGCAATGACCATGGTGCGATGGGTCGTGATTTTGGTACAGAAGCTCAAAACGCTTGGCAAATGGCCAGACAATCCGACCGGTTTCCGGTGTGCTGTCGTCGTACCGATACAAAATGTCATTCTTTAATCTGAATTTAGTTACATCATATCGCTTCAACGTTGGGCTGCAATGCCTTGGCCACTTTCCAAAGCGCAAATGATGGACAATGGCCCGACAGTCCCGATCGTGTTTTTGGTACCAAATCATTTCTTCGCGACTAAACGCTGGTTGAACGTGATCTGGCTCAATCAGGCTGACGCGGAGCTGATCCTGAGTTCCTGAAAGCGAGGGAGTGGCATTTTCTGACCGTGTTTGTGGCGGAACGGGGACCGTTTTACCGTCTCCTTCGGTAGCCACTGCCGTGCCGCTCGGGGCCATTTGGCTGGTCATCGACTTGTCCTTACTTTTCTCGGTCGCGGTTGGGCTGGATCGCCCCTGTGGCATGTTCTTATCCGGACACTCTGTGTCTGGTGGCATACCTGGTGCGCGCGACAGCATGTCAACGTGCTCCATAAAGTTTGCACGGCGGTGTTCGGGGCTATAGTGAAACTGACTGACGAACGATCGCCAGCGCATCAGTCGGGGGTTGACGCTGTCTTGATTGTTCAAAATCTGCAGAGCGCTTTTGCAGTCACATACCCACGTAAATTCCTGACCAGCCAAATATTTGTAAAATTTATTTAGACCTTGAATAAAACTGTAAACTTCTAATTCATAGATAGTCCACTTACGCTGGTGTTTGTTATATTTGCTGCCACTGAAAGCAATCACTCTTTCCACTCCATTTTGGATCTGACACAAAATTTGGCCACTGCCGATCGTACTGCTGTCAGTATACAGGATGAACCTGTCACTTACGTCTCTGCTAGGGTATGCTAGTACACGGTCAGAGAGCAGAGCCGCGCGTAAAGACTCAAATGAACGTGATAATTCTGGATTCCAATAAAATTTCTCAGAGTTCGCTAAGTTAACCAATGGAGCTGACAGATCAGCGAATCTTGGAATAAATTTCCGAAACCAAGAAAAAAATCCATATAATCTCTTGGCCTCTTTGACAGTGGATGGCGGTTGCATGGTCGAAATACATCTGAAACGATCAGGGTCTATTGAAATGCCCTCAGGAGTAACCAGGTGGCCCAGGTATGACAGCTTGTTCATCCCGATCTTACATTTTTCAGCCGAAAGCTTTAAACCTGCTTCGTTAAGTCTCTCGAATACTGTGTGCAGCAACCGATAATGTTCATCCATACTGGCGCTTGTTAAAAGCACGTCATCAGCGTAAATGAAAACTCCGGGTATGTCACCCAAAACGCGATGCATAACCCGATGCAAGAAAAAAGAGGACTGGGCACACCCCATTGGCATCCTCTGCGGGTAATATGTGTTGCCCATCGCGTAGAACGCACAGATCTGGCTGGAAGTTTCGGAGAGACGCAAATTCCAAAACGCGTGTCTAATATCCAGGGAGCTGGCCACTTTCCAACCTCCCAAACTATTCAGGAAATCATCAATACTCGGGAACACGAACTTTTTCGGGAGTAAGCATTTGTTTACCTGCCGCATGTCTTGGACTATGCGGTTTTCCCCATGTGACCCCGGTTTTGGGATCAAAACAACTGGGGAGTTCCAGTCAGCTGGCTCTCCTTCTGCTATTACACCGCACGCCTTTAGTTCATCAAGCTGCTCCTTTAGTTGTTGTTCTTTTGACCAAGGAATAGGATAAGGGCGCACAAATTGCGGTGACACCCCGGGTTTCAGCTCTAGGTCAATGGGGTCCCCCTTGTAGCACCCAATGTCAGAATATCCGTGGGAGAAAACACCGGGAAACGACTGGATCAAACCAGCTAACCTGTCCCGTTCTCGATCCGTAACCGCCTCACCCATCATAAACCTGGCTAGGATTTCGTCCGTCGTCTGACCAAAGAATTGACGATCCTCGCTCGTGATTGCATTCACCTCACTGGGACCTGAGTCTGAACACCCAGGCTCAGCCGATTCATGACATTCAATTCTCTCCAAAAAGCCAATGACAGTCTTCCTCGGGAGAGTGATATGACGATCTGAACTATTTCTGATATAAAGAGGGATTTCTTGTGAAGAGAAAGGGCGTACTAAAGAGTCAGTAATCTCTAAGCTTTCCGAGTTAAGGCCAACCATAAGGTAAGTACAGTCTGTTGATAGCTGACTGTCTACTTTGACGCTTAAGCATACTGCGGATTTTGCGGGAACACTAACGGGTTTTGAAAGTCTGGTCTTAACCTGAAAGGAAGCATCTGCACAGTTCATGATAGCACCCTGACTGCTAAGATAATCCCAGCCAATAATACATTCATGTGACAGGCCCTCTACCACCTGAAATTCGAATGCCGTTTCCTTAGTCTGGCCACTAGATGCCAGCATTTTTACGGGCAGGACACACTTTCCAAGCACATTCATATTATGCCCAGACGCTGATTTGAGATCGGCTGCACGTTTCAGTTCTGTTCGAGGGGCCAATGTTCTCAATACTTTAGAGTCTAACAAAGTCAGCTGACTTCCCGTATCCACTAAGCAGTCGTTTAGAATTGCCCCATTTATCATAACTTTCGTCACCGGCAGCGACATCAGGCCAGCGTTATGAGCCTGCCCGGCTATTCGTTTGGGCACTGAGACTTGCGGTGTCCCCAGCCCCTACAAGACCAACAGCGGATCATACCGTGAAAGCCGTCAGGTGGGTGTTCGTTGTTTGACCCTCCTCGGGGCGGTGTGCGCCTTCCCCAGGCGCCGGGAGGCCGCTGACCTCGCCAGCCACGGCCGCCCCGTCCAGGTGGCCATTGCTGCTGGTAGTAGTAACGGCCGCCCCGTCCGGGCTGCCATTGCTGCTGGTGATAGTCATCCCAGCCAGGCTGCCATTGCTGTCGGTGGTAGTCGTTCCGTTCTGGTTCAGATGGTGAAGGGCTGCGTCCGCGAGCTCTGTTTGGACTCCGACGGCTGCCCGGCCACCTATGTGAGTGATCACTCTCGTAAGGCGGCGAAGGACTACGTCTGTGCCGCCAGGGCGGGGAGGGCGAGCCACTTTGCCGGTGCCGCTCCTGCTGCTTCTGTAGGTGACTGTGTGGGCCAACCCCGTCCGGAGATTGGTGCCTGATCTTACTTTGGCTCTGGATCACGGGCTGGGTCTGGGCTGCATCGTCGCGGTACGGTGAAGAACTGCGACTGATCGGATTGGCCCATTGAACCGATCTTGGGGCTGTGCGCACTGAAGAAGATTCATGCGCTGTCTGCACAGACTCTTGCAGTGACTCCTCGCGCGATAACTCAGCTATTGCTTCCTCGAACGTAGTGACTTTAAGACGCGACAAGAGGGTGATGTCGTGTTGGTCTAGGCCGGCCACAAAATGCCGGTACAATGTGGCACTATAGGCCGGCTTGCATATGTTCTTGACCTGGCCGTTAGTGCAGAAAAAATCGGGGCATGCCTGTCGCACCAAGCGCCGCACTGATATGCCATAGTCACGAGCGCGTTCTTGTGGTTGCTTCCGGAGCTGTGACAGTTTCATAGCAGCTTGTGCTGTGGAAGTTTGGTCCGAAAAATGACTCATGAGTTCCGCACACAATGAAGTAAATGTCAGGCCACCGTTCAAACTTTCTGTCTCATTGACGACACGCAGAGCCTCACCGGAGCAGCGTGTAGCGACGATCATGCCCAACTTGTCTGAAGTGAACCCACCCAGGTCGCCGAGACGCTTGCATTGAGCGAGGAAGTCGTCTGGCCTTGAAAAGCCGTCATAAGTCGGAAAATCCGCCACTGAAACTTTTGGCGAAGGCGCCGAGACAGCTCCTTCTTCGTCCATGATTCGTAATTCTGGATATAAAACTAACTCCACACCGCTGCCACCATGTTAAACCATCACCAAGAAATTAAAGTAATCTGCGTCATGTACATTTTATATTCTCTGAGCACATTATCCCCGCATAAAACACACATTTGAAAAATGCATTCCTCGCGCCGAACTCGTGGAATTTTCTAATGATCCCTCAATTTCACGACATTACTCGTGTCGTGGAATTTCCCAACGATCTCTCAATTTCACGACAATTGGATTAGGCTTAAAAGCTTAAGAAAAATGTTCCCAATATGAATGTCGTTAATGGGCTTGCCATATACCCTTGATTAGCTTATGGTAACTGGTAAGGCTCTTTTCTCTTGCTTTATTTCCAATCCATTTTCCAGTACGTTGCGTGATAGCAATCAGTAACGACAACACAGTTGACAATTCATGAAGCATCGCATACTGCTACATCGGCTCGCTTTCTCGATCCGTATCTACCGGCCAAACCGTCTTGACGTATCCCTTGAAGTCACTGACCTTGACCTTAAAGGCGTCCACCCGGGCTCTGCCGGCATCCCTAACAAACATGCCGGCCAGGGGTACCGGGAAGACGGTCTCGACCAGACCCAGACAGTACTGATCTCTCGCCTGGTCGCTCTTAGCTGCGCCGGACAGGGCGTCTACTAGATAGTCCAGATGAGATTTCCTGTGGGCATGACAGTTGTAGATATGTTACCTTCTTAGTTTATCGTCAAAATGCCGAAAGTTCCCAGACTGTCTGAAAGGGTCGAACGTATAATAATTACACTTTACACGTAGCAAACATTATGTGAAATGGTCCAAAAACTAAAGTTTTTTCAACAGAAAACACAATTATAAACAATAGTGTTTTTACATAACTATTAAACATAAACCCTCGGTTACATCAGAAATAAGTGAAAATTGACAGGGCAACAATAGGTATTCGATATAGGTATAGCCCCATCACAAAATTGACAATGCAAATAAAAGTGACATTCCTATCACTTGAGCATTATAGCAATTAGCGGACATGAGTATGCTGAAATCTACATTATGCAATCAGGCACACATACCTGTACATCAGAAGCACAGCATTGTGAACTATGCGGGGTGAGAAAATCATCAGCATGAGGTCCAGATCCTGCATGTATTGCGGAAAAGGCAGGCAAACTTCATCGTCGTCCCTGATGTCTGGAGCGACAGTTTCTCGAAGAAGTCCAGTCCAGTTTACCTGTCGGAAGTCGACAAAATAAGTCATACAGGGTGATCGAAAAAAAGTGTCACCCCTAATTTAAAAGCCATATAACTCGCGATTGGTTGGTCGTGCGACTTTGCGCCAGGCAGCATAAGAAAGAGCATACAATTTCCTTTCGAATGGATGTAAATATGCATGGTTTATGCCGCAAACGAAGATGTAGCTATTCAAAAAGTATGTTAAGGACGCAATTTGGCGTGTTCAAAAGTTTGGTTGTGCGAATTTGTACTTTTGACAGAGTTTTTGATCTGACAGCTCACGTGACAGCTCACGTGAGCATTTTTCTTAACTGTTCCATGGTTACCGCTGCATAAAATTGATAATCCGGTAGTGCAGGTTGTCGCAATGTTTCGCTAGTTACCGGCGAATTTGTGAATAATGAGGCCGCATGTTTGCAAGGAAGATCTGATAAAGTCTGCCTTGCCTAAGGTCAGCTGAGAAACGAGTCTAAGGTTAGCTGAGAAACAGTCTGCAGTGAACAACATACATACACTCCATGTGTAATGTGTAAGGTGTGTGTCAACTGTCATGTTGAGTTACGATACTCATTGTTCTCGTTCAGCGGTGTCCGTTCCCGTTCGGTGAATTTCGTTTCACGTGAAAGCCGCACATTGACTGGTTTTTGAGCCCATGGGGACATGATTTGGAATAGAAAACAATCATGAATACATTCAATTGAAAAAAATTGCCTGCTCTTTCCGATGCTGCCTGGTGCGAAGTAATCCGACCTACCAGTCGCGAGTTATGTAGATTTTAAGTTAGGGGTGACACTTTTTTTCGATCACCCTGTATAACGCAATATAGCAAAACAAAGAGCAGGTAACACCAGATAGCATATTACAAATAGAATAGTAATACAATGGGGATGATGCACTATGAGCTTTTATTTCCCGTCTTATTCCTACTCGTAAGTCGTAACTATTTAGCTTTTTCAAGCATGCTCGTCAATCATCCTAACAGCTACCCATAAATTGACCGTTTGGAAGACTGGAATGTAAGCATGCATCGGAATTTAAGTATTATGACATTTTTAGAAGAAAACCAATCCATACAAAGAGACCATCACTTGCTACATAAATATAACAATAATAGCCAGGTCAATGGCGTGACCCCGTTTCCCCTCTGATACGTCAAGTACCTAACTGATTGCCATCGATCACGCTACGAATTGTGACTTACGAGTAACAGCGACATATCTCCTGGTCGAACGCAACGGCATCGGTGTTGCAATTTCAACAGCATACGTTTCTAGTGATGTCTTAAGGAAAATCGGAATACCGATACCAAACCAAATACCAACCAAAACCGTGGAGAAATACCGAAACCAAACCAGCTTGGGATCATGGGGGAAATACCAACTTTTTACCGATTTCTTAGCCTCTTATACATTAGTGGGGGTTCATGATACCAACAAAATACCAAACGCATTAGGATTGAAATACCAAATACCAAGTTGGTATCGGTTTGGTATCGGTATACCAAGAAGTCGGTATACGATTGACATCTCTATACGTTACTTTGTTTGCAGCTACTTCGCATTTCAGGGCCGATTTATGAGGCATGTATATTAGCAGGGACCACCAAATTAGCTTTTAGTTCACCGAGGAAGGCACTAATTCAAATCGATGGCTGCTCCATAAACATTGAGCAGCTTCCCAGACTAAGCCGATTCTTACATATAAATCCATAGGCAGAAATAATTGATAAAAGCTTTTTAGAAAACATCCTCATGGAAACCGCCTTGTACTTTCTGTCAAGGTATCGCTCTACCGACATAAGGCCTCAGCTTTCATGAATATCAAGCACTAAAGTAAAAATTGGCTTCACTCCCCAAAAAAATGACTCGGCGTCAGGCAGGCATGCCATGCCATCTCACCGCTATGAACTCGCTGCTGAGCTGGTGCACGGTCAGCGAGTGCCGACACCGGAGCTGGCCGTTGATCTCCAGCTCGGCCCTCTCCCGGTGAGAAGGCATGATCTGACCGGCAGAAAACAGCACCCAATTGGGGACGTCGATCAACATCGATATAGGAAAATTATACGACGGTGTTGTTTGTTATGAAGGTTAAGTTTTACTATAGCCGCGTGTTTTTTTTTGTATGGCTCTTTTACTCCTAATTCCTGATATGGTTATATCCTCGGGACAGTAATCTTATCTTGCGATATCGTTGGATGTCACAGAAAGATATACTAGGGTTGACTATTAAGTAATGGAAGTGCCTTAAGCAATTAAACGTTTTTGCACGTGCACATGTTTTCTTGGTGTCATTTCATGCGCCGATGTTTTTCTATCCAATGGTGAAGACCACATGTCCTTAGCTACTTCTTGCTCCAAGCTATCGTCGTTTTCCCAAGAGACCACCCGAACCTGCGGCGCACCATGAAAAAGGAGTCTGGCAATGGCCAAAATCGCGCGCCAAGCGCCAGCGCGAGGTCATCAGAGCTTATTGGCTTATTGTTATGGCTACACAATGGACAATTTCTATATTTTCATCAAAACAATACACAATGGCACGATAAATGACAGCATGCACTACTCCACATAATCGCCTTCAAGCATCACACACCATTCCAGCCTCGTCTTGACCCACTCCTGGAACGCCGCCAGAAGACTGATCGGCACTTTCTTTCTCAAACCGATGAAACCACCAACATATCGTCTGTGGGGAGGCTGCGTCGCTCCATACACTTAGAAAAGAAATTTTCTGATATTGGTAGGCCTTTTCCCTACGACAAACTGAGCTCTAATGACCTTGCACTCGGCGCCGGCGCGCGGCTTTGGCCATTGCCAGGTGGTGCGCCACAGGTTCGGGAGGTCTCTTGGGAAAACGACGATAGCTTATAGCAAAAAGTAGCTAGGGACATGTGGTTTTCACCATTGGATAGAAAAAAGATCGGCGCATGAAATGACACCTAAATAATGTGTGCACGTGCAAACCCGTTTAATTGCTTAAGGCACTTCCATTACTTAATAGTCAACCCTAGTACATTTGCGGTATTTTGCTCTCCCTATCAACATATTTCAATCTGTTGACCTCATAAGAAACGTGTTAAAAGAGCCTCAAGTAGATCATTTGAACATGACAGCGAATGTGTTTTGTAAGTGATTTACTGCTCACCTCTGAGAAGTTGTACAAGAACTTTTGCACTTTGTACCAATCTGCTAGCATGTCTTCTTCCGAGTAAAACTCAGACCGGTTGCTTCTGACAATGTTCATGCCGAAGAACTCCATCGACTCGTTAATATGTTCTGAGGCAATGGCTCGCTGAAAAAGAAAAGAAAAATAGAAAGCGCGCGCTTACTCATAAAATTATACGCTATTCACCAATGGGGTAATAAGTCAAGCTATGCTTGGGTATGGGAGGGTATTAGGAATAAGAGTTGATTAATCAATAAAACAAGCCTGTACACATTGTACTTACTATACTGTTCCAATTCGGAACAGTGAGCTTCGGAGCTTCCGAAACTCCGAAGCATCATCATGCTAAGCAAAACAATGACAAGAAAACCAGTTACAAGCAATGCTACAATTTTCGTCATGCCATACCTTCAGGGCGTTGAAGAACCTGGCACTTGTGTACGGATGTTCTGGGCCTTCCTCGTGAGCGGGTCCATGCCCGGCGCCGTGGTCCTCTGTTTCAACCGACGCCGCCGACGTTGTCTCTACCCGTCGGCGCCGACGAAAGGAACTGGTCGGGCGGTAGGCCCGCCAGGGAGACCGCTGAAATACGAGAAAAAGTGCATTTGAAGTAGAAGTCCAAGCGGCGATGTTTTGTTGCGTTATAATGGAAAGGTCAGACAAATGACCCATTTTACCCATCATGTCACATTGGTCAATATCAGAAAGTTACA